TGTCACGACCCGCTCCCCGTACCCAAGGGTTAAGCATCGTGATGGCCAGTAACTGAAGTTACCTACGGCCAATTCTTAAACAAATAAATAAACGCAAGCGGAAGAAATATTTCAGTAAGGGTACCAAAATAATCATTGGAGTTTCTATTTTGATTACAAAATATATTGACCAAAAAGGCCGATATTTACATATAAATAATATCATAAAAGTGTTGTGTGTGTCTATTCCGCAGCCCCGTGTCTAAGACTTTCCAGAAGCTATTTCTGAATTGCATGTTTCCTGAAAATTGGTAAAAAACTATAAGTACGTGGCAGAGTGAGAAATATTATACTAAGAGTATAAGGGCACGAAATAACCATGGATAGTTAATTAGGCCAAAACATTTATATAAATAAATCCTTTGAGTAGCAAAAATCATTTGAATAGCAGAACTGAAATACATAGATTATGTAAGTAAATAGCCATAATCACGGTACAGAACAGAACAGAACAAAGGTCACAGAAGTGACAGTCAGAACAGAGGTACGGATTCAAGAGGTGGCTCGTACGGATTCTAGAGAATAGTGTAGCACTTAGTTCCGCACAGCACTTTGGTCCGCACAGAACAGAGGTACGGATTCAAGAGGTGACTCGTACGGATTCTAGAGGTGGCTCCCATAATAGTGTAGCACTTAGCTCCGCACAGAACAGAGGTCAATGGATCAGAGGGCCACAAAGTAACCAAACAGAGGTCAATGGTTATTTAAGTCTCCAAAAGCGTGGAACTCCCGTGGTGGTACTTACAAAGCATAATTTTATATAAGGTCATAGCCAAATATTCTTTAAAATATAAACAGACATATCCATGGATTTTCTTTTAAGAAAATAGGGTTCAGAAGATAAACCATGTAACTGGAATTTTTATAAAACATAATTTTTATTAAAAACATAACTTATATAAAACAAACTTTGGTAAGTCAAAACATACGTAAAATACATTTTGATAACTCAAGGTATAATATAACTCACCTTAACTTTAATACCTTACTCCTTCTTTTCACTATCAAAGACTCTTTCGACTTCCATTATATTTCCTTTCTTTCTCTGCTCTCTTTTCTTCTTTCTTTTTCTTTCTTCTTTCCTTTTCTTCTTTCATTTCTGCAGATCACCACTCTCTATTTATAGAGAGGTGAACGCATTATTCGGCCAACGCGTGTCCCTCATTCAAATTCGATAATTAATTATATAGATACGTCCTTATCCTTAATAGATATTTAAGATAGTTACCTTTTAACCCAACTTTTTAATATAATTATATAAATAAAATAATTCTTAATTAAATTACACTTTATCGTATACTGACAGATATTAATTATTTATTTTAATACTATACTCATTATTATTATTATTTATATTATCTATATTATTATTATTTATATTTTGACCCCTAAACTTTTAATAATTATATTATTTTATAAAATCACGCATAATAATATATAATAAATTATATATTTTCCGAACTGAGATTAAATAATATTAGTATAAATTTTACAGAATAATTAAAAATCTGGGTTGTCACAAATTGATACTAATTAATAATTTTAGTATTAATTGATACTGATTAAGCAATTAATTGATACTAATTAATAACAATTGTTGATTATTAATGTTATTTGATCCTAATAAAAATTAATTATTGATATTAATTGACACTAATTAATAATTTTAGTGTTAATTCAGACTAATTAAGCCATTAATTGATACTAATTAATAATTTTAGTAGTAATTGATACTAATTAATAACAAATGTTGATTATTAATATTATTTGATACTAATGAAAATTAATTATCAATATCAATTGATACTAATTAATAATTTTAGTATTAATTCAGACTAATTCTAGTAATAGTTTTAGTATTAATTCAGCTTTCATGTAATTTTAGTACTAATTCAGACTAATTTTAATATCAATTGATACTAATTATTAATATCAATTTTTATATTAGTTGATACTATTTAATATTAATTATATTAACTTTTATTAATAAAATAATTTTTTAAATTAAAATTGAAAAAAATGACAAAATTATCATTTTTATATCATATAAGGGCAAAAAGGTCAATTACATAAAAAAAACTATTTTATAACTTATCAACCAAACACAATTCTGCTACTTAAATCCATAATTTCATAGCTGCACCAAACAAATTAACAGTTTATATTCACAGTTATAAATTATAATTTTTTAAATTATAATGTATAATCGCTTTCTCACAATTTTACTAAACGAGACCAATACATATATATTATTTTTCAAAATATTTTTGTGCACACAAATTTTATGCACAGACCTGTACTTACCATGAAAGGTCATGAAATTTATGCAAGAAAGTTGGCGTCTGGCCACCGACAACAACCCTATCCGGTAGTCAATCAAACACAACTCTGCTACTTAAATCCATAATTTCATAGCTGCACCAAACAAGTTAACAGTTTATATTCACAGTTATAAATTATAATTTTTTAAATTATAATGTATAATCACTTTCCCACAATTTTACTAAACGGGACCAATACATATATATTATTTTTCAAAATATTTTTGTGCACACAAATTTTATGCACATACCTGTACTCACCATGAAAGGTCATGAAATTTATGCAAGAAAGTTGGCGTCTGGCCACCGACAACAACCCTATCCGGTAGCATCTGATGGTGGTGATGGTAGTTGTGGTAGGTAAGAGGGTCCCATGTCATATCACCCATGTAAATTAATCTCCATATTTTGTGAAGTCAAACATGACATCCTAATCTCCTCATCATCACCTAACATGGACCACCACCACCACCCAAAACCTCCCCTCTCTTTCCTTCACCAACCACACCCCTCTCTCTCAAGTCCGCATAGATTCCCCAATCATCAAAACCCATTTCCACCCACTTTTACCCCTACAACAATTTTAAAATTCCAATCAACCCATCTCTTCCACCAACCCCCCCAACCCCTTCACCAACTTATACCCCTCATATATACACACATCTGTGTCTATATATATATATGTTCCATTTAATGTACTCACCAATTCAATCTCCTAACAACCCATTATTCATTCTCTTCATCCAATTCATTCCCAATGGATACCAAAACAACCCAACAAGAAATTATCTTCAGATCAAAATTACCAGACATTTACATCCCAAAACAACTTCCTCTCCATTCATACTGTTTCGATTATCTTCAGATCAAAATTACCAGACATTTACATCCCAAAACAACTTCCTCTCCATTCATACTGTTTCGAAAACATTTCGCAATTCAGCTCAAAACCATGCCTCATCAATGGCTCCACTGGTAAAGTCTACACATACTCTGATGTCGAACTCACATCCCGCAAAGTCGCCGCAGGTTTCCTGAATTCGTCTTCGCTTTCCTCGGCGCATCCTATCTCGGCGCAATCATAACCATGGCAAACCCATTCTTCACACCCGCCGAGACAATCAAACAAGCAAAAGCTTCAAATTCTAAACTCATCATTACCCAATCGAGTTACACAAGTAAAGTACTCGATTACTCAAGCGAAAACAACGTGAAGATCATCTGCATCGATTCTCCTCCAGATGGGTGTTTACATTTCTCCGAATTGATTCAATCCAACGAAACCCAATTGCCAGAAGTGGAAATCGATTCAAACGAAGTCGTTGCTTTGCCATATTCATCAGGAACAACGGGTCTACCAAAAGGTGTGATGTTGACCCACAAAGGGCTCGTGACGAGCGTGGCACAGCAAGTCGATGGAGAGAATCCAAACCTGTATATTCATAGTGAAGATGTGATGATGTGTGTGTTGCCATTGTTTCATATATATTCGCTCAACTCGGTTTTGCTTTGTGGGTTGAGAGTTGGGGCTGCGATTTTGATTATGCAGAAGTTTGAGATTGGGTCGTTTTTGAAGCTGATTCAGAGGTATAAAGTGACGATTGGGCCATTTGTGCCGCCGATTGTGTTGGCGATTGCGAAGAGTGAGGTGGTGGACGACTATGATCTGTCGACGATTCGGACTGTGATGTCTGGTGCGGCGCCGTTAGGGAAGGAGCTTGAAGATGCTGTCAGAGCTAAGTTTCCTCATGCCAAACTTGGCCAGGTAATTGTAATATATGTACTTTTATTTGAACTTCTTATTTCCTTTTATTTTTAGTAATGTTCTTTTTAGGATCATGCTGGTCTCCGATTCATATAAATGGACTGAAAGTTATTATTAGATCTGTGTGACTTATCAAGAGTCTTATTTTGATAATCGAAACCATGCAATATATAAATTTCATTCACTAATTTATCAGTATAAAAAATTAATTTGATCGGATATCGATAACTACTTGATCAGATCAGATTTTTGTCAACAATTTATTTTAAAAATTATATGTACCATTGATAAAAATTTAATCCCATCAAATAGCTATTTATATCCGATCCATGTGATTTTTTACAAGGATAAATTATTTGATAATTTTTACAAATTGAACGGTTCGACTTATTGAAACAGGGCCCGTGATGGACCCTTACACGCTCAACAACATATTCCAAACTAATCTCGAAATGCAGAGAAGCTTGACCCTACTTTTTAATGCCTTCATTTTAGGATAAAGTATCGGTAAATTATATTTTCCATGTTGGGTTTGTATTTGATAAATAATTTTGAAAATTAATTTTTTGAAAAGAGTTTATAAAATTTAAAAATTTATTTGGTTATATATTTTAAAATATTTTTGGAGTTTTAGAATTTGAAATGATTTAAAAAAAAATTATTTATAATTGAATAAATAAGTGTGAGAAAAAAAGTGATTAATTGATATATAATAGACATAAAAGTGATTTTGGTTTTTTTTTTTTCAAAAAATTTTAACCAAACAAATTTTTGAATTTTTTTCTTAAAAATTGTCTCTCAAGAGACAAATGAAACAAAGCTTTTATTTGTTTTGCTGTGTTTTATTCATGGATTAGAAGAAAAAAAGTATGTGAAATATGAATAAAATATAACTTACATATTATACATATATATATATATATATATATTTTTTAAATTCCTATCCAAATTCATGAATCAAGCACAACATTTATATTTAATCATTTTCTCACTTTAACCTGTGAAGTTTTTTTTTTTTTTTTTCACTTTAGTCTTTTATGTTTATTTTTTTTAATTTACACCAAAAATTATTTATGTTTAAAATTAGACAAAAAATTTCATATTAGCTACCATATGACATAAATAATATATTATTATATTATGATTTGAGTTTGTGTTAAAAGTATGAGTTATATATAACAAAATATTTTTATATCGCGTGATTATCAATGTGCCATTTTTTTGTGTAGTTTTATACATAAATTAACTTTTATTTCAATGAGAAAAATTTGAAATATTAAGGAGCCAAGGTGAAAAAAAATTTTTAAAAAATTAATCATACATAAAAAGGATAAAATATAATGTTCTTTATTAAATAGATTTGAATTATTCATTTATATAGGTCTCAGGTAAGTTTTACACAGATGAGTAGTTTGAATATATGACCATATATGTATATGTATCTATGATAGTGAATGATTATTTTAGTGAATTCTATGATACAATCATGTTAGTATTTATTTCAATGAGAATGGAGCCCAAGGCTCTACTATTATTATGCATAATTTTTTATTTGTATAATTTTTCTATTTATAAGATAATATGTAAATGATATATTTGTAGATTATAGATTTATTATCATAATGATATGTATATATTTTTTTAAATGAGGGAAACACCCTATATCACATCATTTTATTTAAAGATTCTTTATAATTTTTTTTGTTTAAACTTATATATCACTAATTTTATATCAGGGTAAATTTTCAATAAATCTTATTTTTGAAACTGGACTGGTGAAAAATTATATAATTTATTATTTTTTGGGTAAAAGTATATTATAAGTTAAAGAGAATAATTGCATTCTCACCAACCCTCTTTACTTTAAATTTGGAAAGTGACTTGTGACAATAGTTTCAGTTCAACGCCAATTTTTTTAGGTGTTCGGTCCAACACTAATGTCAGTGCCTAACTTAATTACTAATTTTTTTATCATAACATTATGGAAGTGATTGAGACTCCCTCTAATTATCATTCCACCACCCCACACACACGTGGCGGGTGGTGATTGGAGGAGAAGGAAAAAAAGAAAAAGAAAAAAGAAAAATTGACCAATCAAAAAGAGAGGGGGTCAAAGGGGATACTCCTTGAGAGGGTCCAACTCATTTTTCTAACATTATAGTCATGGCATTTTGTTATCACATTTTTCTATTATATTTATGTACCAACTAAACATGAAACTCAGTCGATTATGCCTCCGTTTGGGAAGTGGATTGGCTTTTTAACTTTTTTGACTATTTTAGCCTGGGGCTAAAAAGCCTAGTTTGGGAAGAACATTTTGACTTTTTTGGCTTTTTGACTTTTTGGTGAGGTGTCCATATGTAATATTACTAAACTGCCCCTGCAACTAATTTTGTCCAACTGTGACGTCACCACTCACTTTCCCTTTTCTTTTTTTTTTTTAAATTTTATTTTTATTTCTGTGCTATGGAATTGTTGACCCAAATGGTTTTTTTTGGTCATTTTAATATTTGTTTTTTTTATTACATTAATTTGGTTTTGTTTTGTTTTTTTTTTTGGTCTTGGTTTTTTCATGTGTTTTTTTATGTTGATTTTAAAATTATTTTTTTTAATTTTCTGTAAAATAATAAAAAGTGAGGTTTTAAATAATTGTCCTGTGTATTTTAAGGTCTTATTTTTTTTATTTTTTTTTTTGCAAATGGTTTTTTTATGTGTTTTTTATTTTAATTTTTGTTTTTCATTTTCTGTAAAATGATAAAAAGTGAGGTTTTAAATAATTGTCCTGTGTATTGTAAATAATTTAATTTTAATTTTATTCAATTTTATTTTACATATTTAAATATTCAAAAAATTTAAATAATTTAAAATGTTAATATTTTTAATTTAAAAACAACTCTACACTCAAATCGTAACCAAACACATAAAACAAAACTTAATTAATCATGTTAAGGACATATTGCATTTTACTGTATTTAGTATTTATTTCAATGAGAATGGAGCCCAAGGCTCTACTATTATTATGCATAATTTTTTATTTGTATAATTTTTCTATTTATAAGATAATATGTAAATGATATATTTGTAGATTATAAATTTATTATCATAATGATATGTATATATTTTTTTAAATGAGGGAAAAATCCTATATCACATCATTTTATTTAAAGATTCTTTATAATATTTTTTTTTTAACTTATATATCACTGGTTTTATATAAAAGTAAATTATCAATAAATCTTATTTTTAAGACCGGTGAAAAACTATATAATTTATTATTTTTTGGGTAAAAGCATATTATAAGTTAAAAAGAATAATTGCATTCTCACCAACCCTCTTTACTTTAAATTTGGAAAGTGACATGTGACAATAGTTTCAGTTCAACGCCAATTTTTTTAGGTGTTCGGTCCAACACTAATGTCAGTGCCTAACTTTAATTACTAATTTTTTTGTCATAACATTATAGTCATGGCATTTTGTTATCACATTTTTCTATTATATTTATATACCAACTAAACATGAAACTCAGTCGATTATATTTATTTAGAAGAAAAATGTTATGAATTTTAAATAATTTATTAGATTTTTTATTAAATTTTTTATATGGGTCACATGTGTATAAATTCCACGTCCATATAAAAGATTTGGTAAAAAAATAGATTAATTGAGAGGCCTGACATAACTCTATTTAGGGATAAGAAAATTTATGAAATGAAGTGGCATACTTAGCATTATTAGTTTTCTAATTGCAAACAAATTACACATAGATCACATAGATAATATGAGATTCTTAGGTTTTTATTCTCTCATGTCCTAAATTATCACTCTAACATACTATGAGTTTTTTTGAGTTTAATTATATGACTGAGAAGTGATTTAAACTAGAAGAACAAAGAAGACGGGGGAGCGTATAACTGATGTCTAAAAAAGACATAATTTCAAAGTCTCTTTTGGCATTGGTTTATAAATCATCTTACTTGAATACTTTTTATTTTATTTTTAGAGGAAGTTTGGAAATTGCTTTTTAAGTAATTTTTTGATGACTTTTTTTTAGTGAACTTTTTAGAAAAAAAATTCAAAAAACTTTTTACTTTTAGATTTATTAGATTAGAAGATTCTAAAATTTTGAGTAATGCTATACATAATTCCATTTCTGACCTCTTTTAGAGTTTACATTCATAAATACATATGAGACCCACTCACTTGTATCTTAGAATGAGAAAATAAGATCAGAAATATGATTATATGTAGTATTTTTCTAAAAAAATTAAAAAATAACACAATTTTTTAAAAAGTCGACTACACTAAGGATGAAAAAAAAAAAAAAAGCTTGAATTATTTATTTATTTATTTTTTCGTTAGTGAGCATATTTTGGATTATTAATATTATTTTTTTACTTATTATCTTTCTAGACTAGAAAGGACCCAAATCTAAAATTTTTTTTAAAAAAAAAAAAAAAAAAAAAAAGAAACTTTCATCTGGTTCTTATACCAAAAAAGCAAAAAAACTAATAAGGTCAATATGACTTATTTTAACAACTACAAAAACAAAAATTGCCATAAATGTCCTAAATAACTAATTTTAATCTTGGTTTATTTATTGACTGATAAATTGCAAGCAAAAGAGTCCCTCCTAATTAGTGAATGGTGATGGTGGAATATATGTAGGGCTATGGAATGACAGAGGCAGGGCCAGTATTGGCAATGTGCTTGGCATTTGCAAAAGAGCCCTTTGAGATAAAATCAGGGGCATGTGGGACCGTAGTGAGGAATGCAGAGATGAAGATTGTTGACCCTGATGCTGGCTTTTCTCTGCCTAGGAACCAACCTGGTGAGATTTGCATTAGAGGTGACCAAATCATGAAAGGTATGCTATGCTATCCTATTCTATTATTCTTTCATTATTCCTTTCTACTATCCCATTGATTGCTACCAAAGGATGATGATGACAATGATGGGTGACTCACAAAACTTGACCTTTTTTTGCTTTTGGTTTAGTGGTATCCTAGTTGTTTTCTATGTTGGATTGCCTAAAATATATATAATTTTAGTCATGTTGTTTAGGCTCTCTTCTTGCAGAGTTATATTTTAATAATCTATCCAAGGAAGTGATGATGTTTATGAGCTTTAATAATTTATCCAAGGAAGTGAAGATGTTTCTAACTATAAACAATAATAATGTTTTTTAGGTTACTTAAACGATCCAGAGGCCACAGAGAGAACAATAGACAAGCAGGGATGGTTACACACAGGGGATATAGGCTACATTGATGATGATGATGAGCTCTTCATAGTTGATCGGTTGAAAGAACTGATCAAATACAAAGGGTTCCAAGTAGCCCCTGCAGAACTTGAAGCCCTTCTACTCAACCATCCCACCATCTCTGATGCTGCTGTTGTCCCGTAAGTATACTTAATTACTGGACACAGAATATACATGAATAGACCAGATTTTACAAAATTTGTTGACGGATTTTTGTGAGACTTATATGTACAATTGTATATGGATCGGGGTGTTCAAGAATTTTTTGCTCGTAAATTTCTTCTTTCTATTTCAAATATTCATTGAGCTTTTTTTATTTGTAAATGACGCAGGATGAAAGATGAATCAGCAGGAGAGGTTCCAGTTGCATTTGTTGTGAGAACAAATGGGTTTGAAGTCACTGAGGATGAAATCAAGAAATATATCTCCGAACAGGTTTGAGACTAACTTCATTTGTTCCATTAAAATGCTATTGTCCTTCCATTAGAATTCTCCTGATACAGATTTGAATTTTTTCATCTTCTCCAAAAACGAGAAATTAGGTTGCCATTGTATATATCTTGTGCATTGGGTTGTCTATTTCCTTTCCATTAGCATCGTGGTGACACCCATATAGATATGATCACAATTTATGATAACATTGGATTTCTCATATATGGTATTGCCATTAATTAGGTTATTTTGAATTTCAAATTTCTAACCATATAGATATGATCATAATCCATGGTGACATTAGATTTTTCATATATAGTATTGCTATTAATTAGATTATTTTGAATTTTAAATTTATAACCATATATATGATTACAACTTATGGTAACAGGCGGTTTCAACTTCCAAAATCCATTTTTTACATCCTCAAAACTCAAATCTTGTTCTATGACATCCTAATATGTATATATATGTTGTGGTGGTGGGCCTGCCCCGTTTGGGCCCGGGCCTCTAGGCCTGCGCCATCATTTTAAAGCCCCGCCCCATAGCCTAGCCCATCGGAATTTGTCATAAAAACAGTCTCTTTAGAAATTAGGATTAGCCCGCATACATGCATTGAGTCAATTTTTTTAAACAAGAATTAACCCTCGCATAAAAAAGTGGGAAGAAACATGTATACTTAGGCCCCGTTTGGGGACTTACTTTTTTAGCCAATTAGCCAAAAAGTTATCAAATTAGTCAAAAAGCCAACAACTCATACCAAAAAGTCAAAGATTCTCTTTTCTTTCTACTTTTTGCACATATTTTCGTAATTAGCCAAAAAGTCATCCCAAACATACAAGTTTTTTTTACCTACCTTTTTAGCCAAATAGCCAAAAAGTTATTAAATTAGCCTGTTCCCAAACGAGGCCTTACTATCTCTCCTGAACAGTGCTCTAAACGAGAATCTTGTATACAAAGTGGGCATTTTGGGTACCACCAGAAAAGCCAGCTTTTGCTATAAAAAAAAATGTAAAAAAATCACTAAGCTGTTTGTCATTAGTTGAAAAAGTTAAATGTTACATCAATTTTTTCACTCAAAAAAACTTTTTTAGAAATTTCCCAAACACATTTAACTTTCTTAGCTTCTAAAAAAGCCAAAAATCTACTTAAAAAGCCTACTCCAAACCCACCCTAAATACAACTTATCTAAATAGTAGTGGATCCCAAGTAATCAGAACAAAATCTAGTTTAGTTGAGTTGACACATTATCTAGATACTATTCATATATATATTAGAAAATTGGCCCTCTTAATTAAAAAAAAGAGGAGCATGGCACATTCTGGGTTTAATTATGAGTGCTGCAATTCTTGTTTCAAACCCCTAACATGTCACTATATATTGTCCTTCAGGTGGTTTTCTACAAAAAAATAAACCGAGTATACTTTGTTGATGCCATTCCAAAGGCACCGTCTGGCAAGATCTTGAGGAAGGACTTGCGAGCAAGACTAGCTGCTGGTATTCCAAGCTAATTTCCAGATCCAGAAGTGCCTGCTTCCATTATATATATGTGAACTAAAAGCAAGGGCAGGGCACGATCTCTTCATATCCCTTGATGATGATGAAGTAGTGCAAGTACAGTTGCTATGAAGCCTCTTGTGATGATGAAGAGCTGTAATTGCCAAATTTGCTGAAATGTTTGTAAAACATACATTAAAAGAACTTTTGAACATGATTACGTGACATATTATTTCTATGAATAAAGGTTGAGACCCCTTGACCCCTTTAGTTTTGATTGGTCAACTTTTTCTTTTCTTTTTTTTTTTTTTTTTTCTTCTCACCCAATCCCCAACCCCCATGTGTGTGAGGGGTTGTGGGGGTTGGTGTTTTAAGGGGGTCTAAATCAATGCCCTATTTCTATAATATACCTACCTGGTTTTGCCAAAAAAATGTGATAAAATGCAATTGTCTTTCCGTTAAGAATTTGATTGCCTGCTTTTCTTAAGGTAGCTTAATTGAAAGTTACATAATGCTTTGAGGCTGCCTATTCATGCTATGGTGTGTGAGAAACTTCCTGAGACACTATGCCATAAAAGAGAAGAAGAAGACTCATTTGTTGGCTTGGGATGAGTTTTCGGAAAAGAAGACTTGGGGAGGTCTTGGTTTTCAGGATTTCTCTTGCTGTCCAAACAAGGGTGGATGCTTTTGTGTGGGAGATGCAATCTCTGGACTAGTCTTCTCAAAGCTAAGTACTTTCCTCATAGTTTTTTGTTTAGGCTACGACGGGGGTAATCCCTATTTGATGTGGAAAAGCCTATTAGAAAAGAGGAGATTCTGGAGGCTGGGGGTCAAGTGGAGGATTGGGAATGGAATTGCAATTAGAGTGGCTAATGATAAATAGATCCCTAAGCCAATCACCTTCAAACCAGTCATTGTTGCTTAGCTTGGATGAGATTGAAAAGGTTCAACAGCTGATTGATGAGTCTTCAGCGTCGTTGAAGGAAGACTTGGTTCGACAAACTTTGTCTACTGAGGATGCCAAATTGGTGTTGTCCATGCCACTCCCTTACTTCAGTGGTAGGTTACACTTATTTGACATTACACCAAGGATGGTATGTATTCAGTCAAGTTATGAAGTTGCTTTGATGCTCAAGAGGAATGGTCTCATTAAAAAGAAAGGGGAAGAGGAAACATATTTCATTTGGAAAATGTGCCTAGACATTGCTCCCGCAAATGAAGTGCTCTATAAGAAGAAAGTTGTTCACGATGCCATTTGTTGTGTCTGTAAAGAGGAAGAGGAATCTGCAGTACATATTTTGGCGCGCTGTCAAAATTGTGTTGTGCGTATCTCCACTCAGGTTGAAGACTGATGAGGTGAGTGGGGGACTCATTTCAAGTTTGGTGAAGGAAGCGAAACCTACTAATTTGTGCAAAGCTATTGCTTCTCTGGTCATTTGGAAGTTGTGGAAAAATAGAAAATGTGGGTTCTCATCCTTAAAGAATCTACCATACAAAGGTGGGTGAAGCTCATAGTTTTCTGGATGCAAATGCAGAGGTTAAGGTACAAATTAATCGTGTAAGTAATGGAGTTCATCAGAGAAAATCTGATAGGCGAGGAATGTTGAAAATTAATTTATGACAAAAAAAGATATTGAAGGCATTAGAATTGTCTGACCAATTACATATATGGAGGAAAGGAGCTATACATATTTATGATATTTATGGAGTTAGGCAAAGTTAAGAGAAATTAGGCAAAGGTGGTAAGAAGAATTTGATGGTGAGAATTTACATGTGCATTTTCTAAGAAGCACAGACACTTCTAAAAATGTGACGTATCTGTGTTGTGTCTATATCAGGTACCGATACTCTTTGAACACTTCCCCAACATATATCCGACACTCTTCAAAGCGTGTCCTATTTTAATTTTATTTTTTTTTTAAAGATCCGGACACTCTTTGGACACTTAGAGGACACACGTGTTTATCGCTTAAACACATGTGTCTATCAATTAGATATAAGTGAAACTAATTATAAGTTTGAACAAAACAACTTAAAATATAATAAAACAAAAATCATATAAATTTATAAGAATTAGTGCCATATTGCATTTTTTATTATTTTTGAATGATATATATATATATATATCATATAATAATATATAAAATTATATATTTCATACGTATCCCTCACGTGTCATGTCTTGCATTTTTTGAAAATTAATGTTTCAACGTGTCCGTATCATGTCGCGTGTTTGTGTTCGTATCTATGCTTCTTTGTGCATTTCTATTGGCAACTTTGCCTATCTATACAAGATTGTAGTGGATTTGAAAATTGCATCTTGCCATCTGCAGCATACAAGCTTATCTATTTACCTCACTACTTACCTCATTTACATAATTATCTAACTACAAACATCACTCTCTATGTTTGAAAGCGATAACTATTATTTATTGACACTTACTTCTGTCTTATCTAATTAATTTTGCCAAATTGTACATATTTCATCTCCAAGTTTCCTGGATAAGGTTTGGAGTCAGATGCGGGGTACATTGAGTTTTGTAAGATGAAATGGTTTGACTACATGTTCTCTGTAGAAGCCTAATACTCATATTTGGAAATACTAATCTTTTGACCAACTTAGCATGGTGAAATTTAACTAACTTAGCATGGTAAATTTTTTCTGTTAAAAAAAAAAATGGTGAAATTTCACAGCGATTCACTTGCAAAATGAAAATTTTCATTGTGCTAAGTAAGTGAAATTACACTGTTTTCATAATATAGAAATTCTCAATTGATGTGTGAAAATTACCAATCTCAAACGCCCACTTAAGTGAAAAATTCCAAAGAGAAAAATGTTAGATGTCCAAAGTGAACTAATAATTTAAAATTCACCATCCCAAGTAATTCTGGCCATCATTTGAGTATAAAACCTGGCAACACCAATTTCCAACACCTAAAAAGACGTCGCATTCAACCTAATCATCCAACTCACCTCTCCACTCACCAAACAATCCTACTCATCTTTCCACTAACCTCAACTTTCATAAATTATAAAGTAACTCTAAACTTTTAGTATAATTTTATAAGTTAAACTTTTAAGTTTAGTATAATTTTGAAAATTTTAATTTTGCACTTGTAAGACATTGGGAGACCCTCAATCTTGCTAATTCAGATAAGTTTGAAATAAACTTTCTAACATAGTTAATTATTCCCAAAAATCGTTGAAATTGTTTGACATCTCCTATCTCTTCAGGAAACTCTGTGATTTTTTTAGAGATATGATTTTTTTAAAGATATGATTTTGACTCTGTGATTTTTAAATAATACAGTCCCGAATAAAAGAATAGTACAGTCCAAATAATATACAAATTCCTAATTAATTAACGAATCAACTAAGAAAATAAATAAAACTGACAAGCAAGCCAGGGACTGCCTTGCTTCTGATGGATGATGCATGTTCGGGTTGTCTTGCGCGGAAATCCACTAGGATGCCCCAATTAGCCTCTGTTTTGTGATTTTTCTTGAAAAGCGCGCCAAACCCCAGAAGTTTGCTGATTCTTCATTTGCTGCAACAGAGAGCAGGAAATGGACATAACAATGTATTTTCACAGATATAGGCATGTCTCGATCCTTGTGCCACCAATCACGCATATCGATGCATGATGGCAGAGGAGTCGAAATGTGCAACTCAATATAGAATGAATGCACGTATAAACACAACAAGAACCTAACCCCATCATGGGTAATCCAGAGTGTCGGTGACTGGGAATTGAGACACGTTCCGTTACTCGGAGTACGAAACGCACCTCGTTTCCCGTGCCCGGGCTAACTCCTATCCCGAACACGATGCAATATGCATGATATGCATGAATGCAACTAAGATACAACCTAGCATGCACTATGCTGTAAAAAGAGGTGCCTCGAAATGTGTGCATACGGGCACGCAAACCGAGACAATGACATACGCAATGTAAATGACATGAAAATGTGATATGGGCTTACACTAACATGAGAGAGCCTCAGCCACACTTACATAAGAGGCTGATAGATGAAAAATGAAGTGCCTCGAAATGCGTGCACACGGGCACGCAAACCGAGGCAATGGCATACGCAATGTAATATGGCAAAAATGGCATATAGAATGCAACATGGACTTATACTAACATGAGAGAGCCTCAGCCACACTCACATAAGAGGCCGATGGATGAAAATGAAGTGCCTCGAAACGCATGCACACGGGCACGCAAATCGAGGCAATGGCATACGCAATGCAATGGCATGAAAATGGCATATAGAATGCGACATGGACTTATACTAACATGAGAGAGCCTTAGCCGCACTCACATAGGAGGCCGATGGATGAAAATGAAGCGCCTCGAAACGCGTGCACACGGGCACGCAAATCGAGGCAATGGCATATGTAATGCAATATGGCAAAAATGGCATGCAAACATGTTAATGGATTTTTAGCAATGAAATGTGGGGGAAAATAGCCCCGAAATAAGGCGAAAACACACCCAATGCATGGAATCTCTCCCGAAATGCAAAATTAGGCACATAGAATGAACTACAGGTATACAAAGCATGCATAATTGGTACATGGAATGAAAAGACAGAAGCAAGGCAGCCCCAAAATAAGCATTTTACCAGTACAAATCATGGCCAAACAGCAAGCAAAGATAGGGCAACAATGGCATGCAAAAATGGCCCTAAACATGAGATTATGAAGCAACTCACAGCTGCTAACTCCAAATAGGTTAGGGCCCTTCAACAACATTGAAGAGGGGCCAAAAATAAGCCACTTTACAGAACTGTAAAAACCCTAAAAACAAACATAGATATGGCTAAGCTCTTATGCAAGAAAAGGGGCCAAAAGGTAGCCAAAGAGGCAAGTGGTATATGCAAAGCCCAAACTGAAAAATTCCCTTCTACAACATTGAAGAGGGACCAAAAATATGACTATTTACAGAACTGTAAAAACCCCAAAACAGTATACAAACATGCTAGAAATGCAATGCAAAATGAGGCTCAAAAGTGGCTATATCACAAAGTATACAAAATATTCATCAAACAGCCAAAGACCCTTAATAAAACATGAAGAATGGGCCAAAATAAGACTATTTTTAGTTCTGTAAAATGACTAAAAACCGAAGCATGAGGGGATGCTAAGGCATGCAAGAAAAGGGGACCAAAGAGGGATATTGAAGCAAGTGCAATATGGGGGGCTCAAACAGGGCTGAGCCCTTAATGAAACAAGAAAATGAGCTCAAAAAAATGACCTTTTCAG